AGATTTTAAACTAATTTTAAACTTAAATAGTTGAAGTTTTTAAAAATGTTTCTATGATTTTTCTATGATTTTATAAATATACGTTTATTTTTTGTTGTATCCAATTTGTGTTTTTCTCAATTTTAATTAGGTTAATGTAATTTACAAAATTAACTTGGCTAATTTTTAGAGATCTCCTTATTCACATTAACTGTTACTTGCCTTTTTAGTAGAAGAATTTATTAGATGCTATTGAAATAAATGGAAAAGTCTTAATTTCAGATATTGAATGGATTTTTCCCCCACCAAAGAGCATCTACTTTTCGCCGATTTCTTTTAATTTTTTTAGCATTTCCAATGCTGTTGCATACTTTCAGGAGCAGTGAGCTGCACAGCACGTGGATGTGTATCTTCGCCTGTGTCTGTGTATGTGAATATGTCGGTGTGTCTGCATCTGTGTCCGTGCATCCTTGCTGCCAGGACTGTTGTGCCGAGTGTGAATCTGCCCTGGCATTACTGTTTGTATTGCAAAAGTTGTTGTAACTTCGTTAAAATAAGCACTCTGTTAGTTTGCCCGCTGGCGCGACGGGAAGCGTCCCCTTTTCCTAGTTTCCCCGTTTTCCTACCCCAGTTTTCCCCAACATCTCTCCTCTTTCCCCTAAAATTGGTGGATAGCTTGTGGGGGGCAATGCAGCAGATTTGTCGGCGGTTTTTGCCATTACTGCTATGCCGGCTAGTCCTGCTAGCCACTACGCCCCTGCCCCCCCCCCTTTGCAACCCCCTTTTTCAACCCCCCTTGGATTCCCCGATAGTTGGCATATCTGCATTAGTAATGGTGAGTGGCGGCGAGTGCCAGGCAAATTGGGTGGATTTGGATTTACCTGCTCGTCGCCGGCTTTGACAGCCAAGTGTGCTCTGCCCGGATCTCAATCCCCTTTTCCCCCTAAAACCCACCATTCTATCCCCAATGTGTGGCAACATGCCTGCGAGGTAAACTTAACGTTTAGTTTTTCGGGCGTCAGCTCCTTGGTGGCTATTAAATTGCTCTGCAACTCCTAATGGCGCTCCCCAAGCAGCTCACTTCCTTTCACTTTCGGCTGAGATGTGGCTGAAACAATATCGATACTTGTTAGCCGGGCTATACAGGTAAAAACAGGTAAGGTAAGTAGCCGTATGCACTACTATGCACGTCAGTATGTGTACACTGAAACCAAATGTAACAGGTTTTTTTTTCAATACGAGAAGAAATTTGACCTAGGTGTTGTTTTTCAAAATTATTCAGTCTTGAAATAGAGGTACAAGTAGTTTCGTCTTCTTGATTTTGAGAATAAAACATGGAATCGACTCGGCTTACTTTTAAGATCTAGAAAGCTGTTTTTTCTGGATCATAGCATCATAAATCATAAAATCTTTATTCTTTATATTGTTAGAGAATTATAAAATAAGTAATTGGGTTAAAGATTTGAATTAGTATTTTTATTTACTGTTTTTTAAGATCTTTTCGTATTTATTTTTATTGAAAAAAAATATTTTTAAAAATTTTAAATTAAAAAGTAAGTAATTGGGTTAAAGATTTGACTTTGAATGTTTATCTACGGTTTTTAAGATCTTTTTTATTTATTTTTACTGAAAAAAATATTTTTTTAAATCCCCAGTAGAATTCCCTAAACCTTTGAAATTTTAAAAATATTTCTAGCTTGTAGGCAAACATTTTTAACAGTGTAGCAATTTTTAATAGCAGGTGCAGTTGCCGCTGCAGCTGCAGTGCAATCCCCACCGACAACTTGTACTTAGTGCCGCTTCCTTCCGCCCAACACGCAAAATGGCGAGGGGAAAACTGCAAAAGGCGAGCGGAGAAAGCCGTATGTGAAAGGAGGGAAATTCCGTAAGCCGGGGTGAAGCAGGGGGAAAATCGGGGGAAAGGGAACCGGGCGAACAGCTCGTCGGCAGGACTGTCTGAAATGCAATTAAGTCGCATCGACATGCAATCTCCGGCATGGGGAGAGAAAACCGGGCCGCATAAAGGACTCCGCAGGAACAACAAGTACAACCACACAGACCCGCCATTCGCGGCCATATTCTCTATATCCACGAGGAGGCGAGGGGAAAAGGAAAGCCTTAAAAGCGCTGAAAGGTTTCAGTTATCCCCTAAAAAAAAAACACAAGAGCACCCCACACACGCACTCGAAAAATAAGGAACACCGCACACAAGCTGAAAAGGGAATCCTGCTTGACGAGCCTGAAAATACCCTCAAAGGAGCATCAGTGGTCGGGATTATTTATAGAGCGGCTGCTCGGGCGGTACGACTACCCAACTGATGACCGGAATTATTTACATTTGTGATTGTTTTAATGAATATGAAAGGCGCAACAATTTTTCTCGGGGCCCAGTTGTGAAGTTCCTTAGAAGTTGATTTTCTAATTTAATCTAATAATTAAGTAATTACTTAATTAAGATACAAACTGTATACAAAATGTAAAAAAAATGTCTAAAAATGGATAAAAGCAATAAATGAATCTGGCGTATTATCTTTAGATATTTCTGCAGAAAAGTTAAAATAAAATGAAAGCTTAATTCATTTTAGCTATATTTCCAGCTAGTTTACATATTTCTTTCAGCTGTTGTAAAGGATTTATGGATTGGATTTCTTTTCTTTTCAGAAAAGTAATTAATAATGTTGATCCTCTTATAATTTTGTATCACTTCACTATCATTATTATTATCTTAAGGAAAGTTTCCAATTAACTGATACTAAAGAGTATCCGTAAATTTTATCACATATTCCTCAGAACGTCATTCCATCGCGAGGGTGGCCAACAAGATCTGGTTGCACTGGAATGCACTCATTGAAACACTTTTGAGCGTCGATAATCCAATTATGGCCTGACCAGGGGCTCCTCCGGTTCTTCCTTGTTCTTGCCCCTTTGGTCCTTGTAAATTTCCCGCTCGTTTCATCGCGCTTCACGTGCTGCTTTTATGCGAGACAGTGGGGGAAAGTGCTACAAGGAAGTGAGAGGCGAGAATCGTGCCACCTGGGGCAACCGCGTCTCCCGCACATAATTTGCGGCAACTTATTTTGCCCCGAGTCAAGTTTCACACTAAAATGTGTAAAAGGGTCAACAGCTGCAGGGCAGCCCGTATCCGTATCCGGAGTTTCAGTTGGCTCAACAGGAGCACGAGTCCTTACTGGGGGGCTAATCTCTGGGGTCTGCACCTGATAGGGGTTAAACAAAACAAAATGAGAAAAAACACCTCGGCTGTTGCAATTTTCTGTGGCCAAATCGAAACGAATAAAACCAATTCCCATGCCCGTCAAACACAAAGGGTTAATATTTCTAGCGTTTTTATATTTATTTCATATTCAATTTTTCTGTATCGATATTCATTTTCAGTTTTTCATTCACTACTTTAACTTCTCTTTCTCGTTCTTTTGCTTTTATTTAAATTTCGTATTTTTTAGCCGCTGAGTATTAAATGAAAAAATAATTGGAAATAAACGCTGGCTTGAATAAACATAATGAACATTCCATTCCGTTTCGCTATATGTATGTACAATATTATTTGATAAAAATTCCATTTGGGATTTGGTTTTGTTTTTTGGGACGCCTGGCTTGTGGGGTAGAAAATTAAAATAATGGTTTGGTAAAAAAAAAAACTGAAACGAGCAATACCAGCAGCTTTTTTCAGAGTGTTTGTTTTGCCATAATTCATTTGTTCACTTTGTCTCATTCAATAGTTTATTTATCAATATCATTATTATTATTATTTTACTTGTGCATTTTGCATCATCGTCGTGTAAACAACTACAATTAGTATCACGATTGTCATTGTTGTAACCGAAATAATATGAAAAAGTTGGAAACCAGAAAAAAAATCGAATGAAATGGCGAGTAATGAACGGAATAAAAAACACAAAAAACAAGGGAACGTTTTTATTTTGTAATTTATTCCTCTCAGTTAAATTGCTTGGAGTCGTGTGTATGTCTGTATATGACACGATTATGCTTTTCATTAATTTACCATTATTATTATTATTATTTTTTTGCCAAACTGATATGTACTTATATATGTCTGCGTGTGTGTTGTTAAAATCTGCAAACCGTTCTTCTAGTTTTGCCTTTAGTTGTGCAATGTCCGCTACTCTTGCTTAAAAAACAATTAATAATTGCTATCCAATAATTGTTCATGTTATCAGTATGTATATCGTTTTATATATCTCGATTTATCTAAACGTGTATTTGTATTTATATTTATAGTTAAATGTACTTATTGGCCTTGTCTAAATTGGAAATAATAGGCAAATAAAACTAGTTTAGTTTGCAAATGCTGTTTTTCTTCTTTTTGGTTTTAAAAATAGTTGTATAACTATTATTATTAACAACTTATGGTTCTAGGTTGATCTATGGAGATGCAAAATTGTTCATTAACTAGGCTCTAAGTGTGTGTGAGTGTTAGGAATCATCATATGTTCGCTGGTGTGTGAGTGTTTATGGTTTTGTGTACGTAATCAATTGCATTAATTACCTTAAATGTTGGCCAAGACACAAAGTCATGCATTGGGCGATGAAATGAGGAGGATAATAATGTTCGGTTGAATAACATTGAGTTCTAGGCAACTATAACTTTTTGCTGGAAGTTTATGAGCGGAAGAAATTACTTTTGGTGACACGAAAATCATAGTCAGTAGTTGGAAGAAACTTAAATGAAAGAATTAGCCCAGCACATGACATTTGTTCCACTACTTATAAATATACTTGTTCGTATGCATATAAAACTTATCAATTACGAGTGGACATAAACCGATTTGCTTGTCTTTCAATTAACTGTATCTTTATTGTTACGGGGCCGCCTCTCACAATTAGCTAAATCCCAAAAATTCGTAGCTACCGATTAGTTTAAGTTCGTACTTCTCTTTTATATATATTTATATATGTACATATCATACAGGCAACCGTCATAAGTTGAGTGTCTTCAGCAGAGTCTTCTTCCGGTTCGATGTGAGTGTTTTATTAAGAAACTTACTTCGCCGGCAACTAAAGCCAACATCAGAGAGTCATGGTGGTCATCACAATAGGTATCAGCAGGGCCATTGCGAAGGATAACAGGAATATTCGTTGGCCCGAACTGCTCAGCGCGCTCGCCTGGCACAGCAGATCCTCGGGAAAGATCTCCAGGATGGGCAGGTGACGACCCGAAGTGGGATCGTGGCAGGTATTGGCACGGGCTCGCTGGGGATATAGAAATAAATCGAATAAGGATATGTTGTCAAGGGATTTTTTCTTATAGATACTTCGATTCTTCGAAGTTAGGATATTAATGCAAAGTCAAATTTATGTATACTTTGTGTTGCATTTAAAATCCAAAATTAATCTAGAATGATTATAAGGTTAAATTTTTATGATTACAAACATAGAAATTTGATAATAAAAGCAGTTGTTAATTCAATTAATTCGGTTTAAAACTTAAGTTGAATGAATAAAGCAACTGTTAGTTATTTTAACTGTTATTTACTTTAACTGCTAGTGTTTTTAACTGTTATTTACTTTAACTGTTAGTAATTTTAACTGTTAGTTATAACTAATATTTCTAGCTAGCTTTCTAGTTGAATCAATAGTTACTAAACTGTTTGTTATTTTTGGTTATATTAACTGTTAGATATTTTCAAATATATTTCAAGTTACATTTTTAATCGATATTTAAATAAAATTTTTAGTAAACCTTTACTTTGCACCAATATCCACCAAAAAAAGAGGTATAAAAACATATAAAAGCTTACGCGCATATCGGCAATCGATAGGGGTAACTTTGGGTCAAAAATCAAGATTAACACAAGGTTAAAAAATATACAAAAGTGGAGTAGAGAGCCCTGCAGATCGACTCACCTGAACCATGCGCTTGAGGTCGTCCTTCTGGATGACCTTGATCTGGGCGGACTCCCTCAGCCAGCGCCGCAGCCAGTGGCCGAACCACACCAGCCCACACTCGCATTCCAGCGGATTGTGCGAGGTGATCAGACCGCCCATGATGCTCCTCGTGCCCACGGCATCCCAGTAGCTCTTGTTCGGATAAAAGCTATCGGCGGCCAAGGCGTTGATGCGATTGTGCGAGATATCGATGGACAGGTGGGGCACCTCTCGCAATGCATAGAAGATCCCCGGCGGAAGATCCGAGATCCTGGTGTGCGAAATCTGCACCTGCAGTCGCTGACTGCGCGAAAGACCACTGAACACATCGGGTGCTATGGTCTGGACATTGCTGCCATAAAGCTCGAGTAGCCGGATTTTCGTATTATTAGCTAACTTAGCAAACAATTGCTGGTTGATGTTGGGCTCCAAACAGTGAACCCTCAGCTGCTGCAATCCCGGCATCCTGGCCACAATCTCACCCAGATTGGCATGCGAACTGGCATGCAGTTTCCTCAGCGAACGCAGCTTGGAAAAGGCCTGCGGATTGGCCACCTTTACATCCAGGATATTCAGCTCCGCCAGATGCCGCAAACTGGCCAGATCGTGTAGGGTAATTCTCCTCAGTGGATTGTGGGCCAGATCCAAAACTCTTACAGAGGGAGGCAAATGCTCCGCTGCACAACTGGCATTCGTGAGTTTGTTGTGCGAGACATTGACGTGACGCAGGTGGCGCAGCGAACCCAGTGGCGACAGCTCCTGCAGATAGTTGCCACTCACATCGAGGTAGGAGAGCAGGGGCAGCTTCAGCGGTGGCAGGACATACAGGCCCATATGGTGGAGGCTCAACTGCCGCAGGCGCGGTGTGTGGACAAACACCTCCCGCAGGTTGGTCGTCACTAGAGGATTCTGCGAGAGATCCAAGTTGGTCAGATTGTTCAGGAAACTGAACGTGTTGTCCGGCAGTATGGTGATGCGATTCCTGGCCAAACTGATGTCGTACAGAAACTGCGAGTTGATGAACATCGAGGCGTCCAAATATTCGAGATTGTTGTGCGACATCTGAATGGAGCGCAGGGTGAAGCCGATGTCGGTGAAAGCGGGCACCGGCCAGACACTCAGTTGATTGTCCGCGATGTCGAGGAATTCCAGTCGGGTGTTCATAAAAACCTCTCTAGGAAGAGCTCTTAACCTGTTTGAATTAATGCGAAGAATCCGGAGTTTCCTGAGGTTGGAAAACTGCTCCACTTGCAGTTGCTCCAGCTGATTGTGACTCAAATCCAATTCCTGCAGGCTATTCAGGCCCTGAAAACTGCGTCGCCTCAGCGAGGTTAAATTATTATGGGCTACGTTCAAGATCTCGAGAAACTCCAAATCCCCAAAGGCATGACTTTGCAGGGAACCCAGCTGATTATAAGCCAAGTTAAGGAACCGCAGGGTGTTGGCCAAGTTCGTAAAGCTATCCGACTTGGAGACATGATTGTGACTAATGTCCAGCTGGTAGATGTACATGTAGCTGCTCAGTTCGTCGAAGAAACTAGCTATGTGATTGTGACTCACATTCAGACGCAGTGGTGTTGTGGTATTAGAAACATACAGGAAGGACTTTAAGGACAACGAGCACAGCTGATTGTGCATCAGATCCAAGGCAGCCAAGTTGGGCAGAACAGTAAAGGCCCCGTGAGATATATTAACCAGACGATTATGCGACAAATCCAAGTAGCGTAGGAACTCCAGATTGTGGAAGGCCTGACGGGCAATGGTCCTCAGGCGATTCGATTGCAGGTTGAGTGTCTGCAGATCCCCGAGGCTGTGGAATGTCTGCGCCTCCAGACGCTCCAATCCATTGTAGGACAAATCAATTTCCACCAAATGACTATGAACATCGGACTGAAAGAGTCCGCGGGGCAGTGTCTTCAGCTGATTGAAGCTCAGATTAATGTAGCTCAGCTCCCTCATCTGGGCGAAGGATTCGTTGGAGACCTGCTTCAGGTTATTATTGTCCAGTCCCAGCCAAATGAGCTGGGAGAGCGGTAGCAGGGCATCCAAGGGGTCCAGACTCTCCATACTTCTGGCCGGGAAAACCGCAAATGATAGTTCCAGAATCTTAAGGGTTCTTGAGACATTTTCAAAGACCAGCGGATGGTGAATGGTAATATCGTTGAAGCTCAAACTAATCTCCTGTATTTGCTCCAGTCCCGCAAAGGAACCGAGGTGCAGATGGGTTATCTTGTTGTTTCGGAGAAGTATAGTCTGTAAATTGCTGCCCCAGGAATCCACGGCAAAGATGCCCTCGGGAATATCCCCTATGGAATTATAACCCATGTTTAAGTAGGACAGCTGTGTGTAGTTCTTCAGACCCAAAACGGGAATCATGGTAAAGTTGTTCCCACTCAAGCTGAGCACACGTAGATTCTCAGTGAACGAGGGAAGATTTCCCAGCTGACTGATCTGATTTGAGGTGAGGTATAGGTACTTCAAGCGATGCAGGGAGGATAAGGCGACGGGAACCGTGGTCAGTCGGTTCCTCTCCAGATCCAGATACTCCAGCGTTTCAGTCAGACCCTCAAAGGCCGCAGGATGAACCCGACTAATAGCATTGAAGGCCAATACCAGATGGGCTATCCCAGTGGCCTTGAACACCGCGTCCGGCAGTTGGGTCACAAAGTTCTGCTCCAGATTCAAGGCCCTCAGATGGACATCCGAGTAGTTCTGCTGGAAATAGTCCGATTCCAGGCTCTCAATGCAATTCTGGCCAAGATCAAGGCGTTCTAAATGCATTCGCAGCGGCCTCACTTGCAGTTCCTTCCACTGAACACTTCGTATTAGATTGTCCCTCAAACTCACGATCCTCAACTCGGGAAGTTGTTCAAAAAGTTGCTGGGGGAAAACGGTGAGCAGATTACTGGACAAATCCATGGTCACCAGGGAGCGAGGTAAGTAGTTCCCTGCCACATGGTAGATACGATTGTTGGACAAGTCCAGCCAGAGGAGTTTTTGCAGCTGCTCAAAGGGACGACCACCCGAAGTTCGATCCGCGGAACTGGGTGATGGTGGATACAGGGAGTTACTCGTCTCCAATCTCGTCTGCACGGCGGCCAAGCTGGAGGGCTGGGAACTGCTGTCATTCTGGGAGATCACCTCCAGAGATCCACCTCCTAGCGCCACTTCCGTAATATCATTATCGGATAAATGCAGAGATCGCAGGGTATCATGCTGGGCATCCCAATTGCCATCCAAGGTGGTTATGTGATTTCTGAGAAAATAAATGTATAATGGAAATTAAATGGTAAAATTATAAAATCTCAGTTTTATAGTAGCTAAGGTAAGTATTTGCTAAATCTTAAAAAATCATTTTTTTATTTTTAGGACAATTGATTTTATCTGATTAAGCTTACAAACGTAATATTTCAATAGATAATCGAATTTAAAAAATATGTATTAGGTTTTTAATTTTTATAAAAAGTTAGTAACTAAGGTAATTATTTGCTTAGTCTTAAAAATTCCCTTTATTTGGGCAGTTGATTTTACTGGTTTTAAAGAAAAATTCCTTTACAAAAACTACTGAAAATACATAAGTATATATATTTTAGTTTACTAGTCTTTTTAATGTGAGTACTAGGCTTCAATTGCAAAATCGAATATAAGTTAAGTTTACTTGTTGAGCATTAATATGCAGGGACCGAAAATAATGACTATTTTTTTTGAGTAAAAAATAAAAATCTCCATTTAATGATTATTTTGTAAGAGTAGGGTGTATTTGTATGTTCTGGCTCACTTTCGCTTTTTTCTGGGTTTGTTCTGGCTCACTTGGGCCGGCCGGCCGGCCGGCGCTTATCTGGTTGGGGCGGAAGTGGCTCGAGCGAGGCTGGGTGTTATCGCGTTCACTCCCCCGCCCTCTCCTCAGCCTCTGCTGACGTTTTACTCCCACCCCCCTCTCCCTCCCCCTCCCGCTCCCGATCCCGCTCCCGCTCCCGCTCCCGCTCTCCCTCCCTCTCCCACTCCTCCTCCCACTTGACCACTTTTGTTTTGAAGGTTATATAATATTTTCTATGCTAGCACACTATTCCACTATATAAAATAATAAACATAGCGCAAAAATCTGCTAGTCAGAGAAATCAATTAAATATATCCTTTAGAAGAGTATGTACTCCTGAAAATATAACCTAATAGAAAATATATTGTTTTTGTGCAACGTTCTACAGTCAGTATTATTTATATTTTATATAATATGGCAATAGTTCGTTACACATAAATATATTTATAGCCTTCATGTTGGGTGAAAGTGAAATGAGAAAGAGTATATTGATTTGATGGATTCGCTGAGAAAGTTCTGTTAATTTAATAGACCTTTCTTTTTGTGTCCATCACATAAATATATTTACAGCTTTCAAACACGATTAAATATCAGTTAGATAAAGAGTATGTATATTGATTTCTATTGGTGGCAGACTTTTGCGCTATATTTTCACATAGTAGATCAGCCTGCACTCAAAAAAAATAATATATATAAAGTCATCAATAGGGTAAAAAAAAAAAAAAAAAAAAAGTGTGTGAGCGTGTGTGTAGTGTTAAGTTTGTTAAGGAGTATATTGATTTCTCTGACTAGCAGATTTTTGCGCTATGTTTATTATTTTATATAGTGGAATAGTGTGCTAGCATAGAAAATATTATATAACCTTCAAAACAAAAGTGGTCAAGTGGGAGGAGGAGTGGGAGAGGGAGGGAGAGCGGGAGCGGGAGCGGGAGGGGGAGGAGGAGGAGGAGGGAGAGGGGGAGGGAGAGGGGGGGTGGGAGTAAAACGTCAGCAGAGGCTGAGGAGAGGGCGGGGGAGTGAACGCGATAACACCCAGCCTCGCTCGAGCCACTTCCGCCCCAACCAGATAAGCGCCGGCCGGCCGGCCGGCCCAAGTGAGCCAGAACAAACCCAGAAAAAAGCGAAAGTGAGCCAGAACATACAAATACACCCTACTTGTAAGCAAAAAAAATATCGCTCAGAAATAATGATTATTTTGTGAGCGATATATTTCGCTCAAAAATATCACGCAAAGTGGGATTGCATCCGTCCTACGCGGAATTTTACAAAGATTTAAATGTGCTCTTGTAGGTAGAACCACGGAACACATATTCCGTTAAGAAAAAAATAAATTTTCTTTGTATAAACCGCTTAAAAAAACAAAAAAATCTTTTTGTATAAAAACACTTTCTGTGGGAATCGAACTCGTGCTTACAGCTCGGTGGACCAACACACTAACACCCAGCCCACATGACGGGTTGGATCTAAGTGGAATAGTTCATAACATCTTGTTAAGTCGTTTTACTAATAAATAAATGACATAAAGTTCTAAGGTTGATACAACTTTTTGTATTTAAGCATACCTCATGTTAACTAAAAACCGCGTTTTAAAAAGTTTATACAAAGAAATCACCTTCTTTTATTAACTCGATGTGTGCTCCGTGGTTCTACCTACAATCAGAAATTTAAAAGTTTGTAAAATTCCGTACAGAACGGCTGTAATCGCACTTTGAGTGATATTTTTAAGCGAAATAATATCGCTCACATAATAATCATTTAGGGTGTTCAATTGCGTTGCAAACGTTGTAAAGTGTAAAAGTGTAAGGCAGTTCCAACAACAATTTCCATACAAAAAATTTTCAAAAGTAGGCCTTTAAAACTATTTTGTATAAAAATTGTTGTTGGAATTGATATACACTTTTACACTTTACAAAGTTTGCAACGCAATTGAACACCCTAATTATTTCTGAGCGATATTTTTTTCGCTTACAAAATAATCATTAAATGGAGATTTTTATTTTTTACACTTATAATGATTACGGTCCCTGTTAAAATGTTTTATTTATTTCAATCTATAGGTATTACTTCCAGTACTTTAACCTCAAAATCTCCAGACCTACCTTTGCGCCACCAGTCGCGAGAGGGAGTGCAACCGCTGCAAAGCATCCAGTGGTAAGTGCTGCATTTTGTTGCCAGATATATCCAGAGTCATCAGCGAGTGTGTCATCGTGCTGCAAAGGGAGATATCAGATGAGACCAAGGACGAACGGGGTGGCATCTCGCCTATGTGAATATTATCTAAATCATTCCACACGAACAGCAGGGGGACTAGTTATCAAAAATATATAATGGCTCAAACTTTCACTAAAACTTTTGTTCACAACTATCAACAGTTTCCGCTTGGGTCCATCCTCTTCCCCTCATCAACATCCCATCCTCGTTTCCAGTCCCATCCCATCCCCCGGCTCATATAAATTGACGTGCTGCCTGCCTTTTGACATATCCTACACACAAGTCGGAAAACAAATATTTAAACTTAATTAACGCGTAGCAACGGCGACCCAGGCGACCCCATCTGGAACCCCATTCCCCGTACTCCCCGTATTACCCATTCCACTTCCTCTCTGGGCCCCATTAATAGTTATACACACGCACCGCAAACTCACACACAGACACTAGCAAGCACACACACATGTGCAAGGGAGTGGACCACACTAGAATTTAAAGTTTAGTATATGTTTTTATAAGGAGCTTTTAGTGCCTATAAGGCATGCTTGGAAAAAAATAAACTTTCGGAATGGCTTTTCATGCTTGCAAGATGGTTATAAACTTTGTCACGCATACGCACTGTTTAGAAACTTTAATAATGAGCAGGACCTTGTTAAAGTGGAATATTAATACAAGTAATAAAGTATATATATTATATTTAGCCTATAAGAGGCTATTGGTAGTTGAAGCCAGAAAGTTTTATTGGCTTACGTGTCGTATGAGTAATATTTCACATAGCTCATACGCAGTGGGTACAAAATTGTCATAAAATAAAAGAAAAATTTAAAGATTTCGAATATATGGTGCATGATTTATTTTGTAGTTTATTTTTTAAGTTTTTTTTTTAATTTTCGTTTTAAATAGTTTCTACCAAGGTCCACCCTTTTTTTCATAGCATGGCAACTGCAAAGAGAAAACCAAACAGAGTTCGGGGAAACAGCGACCTCAATTATGAAAACCACGAGGTTTTCCAAACAAGCTTCAGCCTCCTCCTTAGTGGCAACAACAACAACAACAAAAACAAGTGCAGCGGCATCCTTTTGTAGTCCTTTTGGTGTTGTTCTTGTTATTGTTGTTGTCCAGGACTTGTTGTTTATGCGACGAAGAATCAAACGCAAAACCAAATTTTTGCGGTTCTTTTTCAACCACTTTCGGCTTTTTCTCTCCCTCTCCCTTTTCTGCCCTTCTCTTTGTGTTTCGGCTTTCTTATGCCATTTGCCGGTTGTTGTAGTTGCTATCCTGCTTTTCCTCGGTTGCGTGTGTGCGTGATTCAGTTTTAGGAAGCGTGTTTGTCATCAAAATACTCCTAAATAACTATTGGTAACAATTTAGGCCTATAACCAACTTTCGAGGGTTGCACAATCAGTATGCCACTCAAGATAGATTAAGATAGCTTAAGTAAGACTTTCAGATTTTCCCTTCACTTTTGAACAATTTTAATAAGGGCGGTATTCTAATGAACCAATAATATTTGCGTATATGGTTACTGTTTAAGGAACAAGTTACTTCAAAACCCCGAAAACTTCGATAAGTAAGTTCCTTAAAGTTCTAAGAAACATTAAAAGCTTGTAGAATTGAAATATTCTAAACCGCTTTTATTACCTTTTTCTTTTCTAGTTACTTTCTCTTTGTTTTAATTTCTCTGAAAAGCCCCCGTTGGCATGTCACTCTGGTATGCACGTACGTATGTACATATGTACCGTGTTCATGGAATACCGGAGAAGTGCGCATTTATCGGCACTTTGCAACTGAACACGCAACAAATACAACGTAACACACAACAAACAAACCAATCCATAAACAGACCCGCACAGGACTTACTAACATATATAGTATGTGGTGTGCGTGTGCTTAATTTAGCAATGTACCACTGTAAATTATTAATTAGCAATTTTTGAAATACATAAGTGCTTAAATATTGATGAGAACTTTTACATATGGCATCATAGCCCGCAACCGAAATGAAATCAAATCTTCTCGTGAGTGCTCCTTTGTGGGTATTATAAAGGTACACAAATGTATATATAGTGGGAAGTTTGGAATACATATATATATAAGGTACATGCGAATGAAACTTTAACTGACCACACATGCGGTCAAGAGCGGGAAACTGTTCAAACATGGGTGTTTTAAGGTCAACACAAGTAAATAAAAGTACATATTTGAGTATGTGTCAATAAATATTTTTAAAAGCAAACTTAAAGTTTATTTATTCAATATGTTTATAAGGAAAATAAATGATAGTCAATTTGAGATAAAAAGAGAATACTTAAATAAATAAAATAAAATAAATTTATATTTAAGATATAATTACTAAAATGTTTCAAGCTCCATTAAAAGCCGATAAAAAGTTATTAAAGATTTACCCTCCTCTACACCAAAGCAGAAATTTTAATTCCAGTTGATATAGTTTTAATTAAGCTATTTAAAAGATTATTTATAAGCACAGCTTATTTGTAAATTTTTTTCTACTTGAGTATTTTCTAGAGGCTTTTCCATTTCCCTACCTAAATTTCTACTAATTGACATTGCGGCAGAAGTATATTATGAAGCACATTCTAAAGGCTACAGTAAAAGTATGGGGAAAAAGGCACATACGAATATATCTATAGAAAAAGAGGTAGAGTTTAACCACATTTGCCAGCCTTATGAGCATTAATTAGTTTGATTTAAATTCTTAATGCCATTCGAGTGTGTAACTGTGTCTTTGGCTGACACCCCCCTCCCCCTTTCTGCCGGGAAAACTGCACACAAACCGTTAACTGTGGGCATCCATTTAACTTTAGCAGCTTAATGCGTGTGCGGGTGGGCGGTCGCCTGTGGTTAAGGGGCGTGACCCCAACTCTGGTTATCCTTTGTGCTCGTTAAAAAATGTTCGCGTTTCATTTCATGGCAACAAAAAGCGTATAAGATGAAGAGCAGAAAAAAAACGAAAAGGCTGGCAAATGCGGTCGACTCTTTCCCACGATCTCTACGTCTCCCTTTCTCTCAAAATAAGGTGGCCAAAAAGGGGGAGTTAAACGGAAAGTTGCAGCCTCAGTCAAATGTGTGATGTGTAATGTGAACTGAATCACAAAATGCTGACGAAATAAGAGCTGGTATTCACTGTACTACAGTCGGCACAACAAGCACATTTTCCCCCGTGAATGTTAACTTTTTCTCTATTTGGATGTTTACACTTTAAAAGGCAGTTATAAATTGGTCATCAAAAAGAAAAACTTTATTTTATTATTTTTTTAATACTCAGAGAATTTTTTTCATTCGAAATATCATGGTAATAATTGCCATTACTGATATTAAAAAACTCATTATTTTTTAACTTTTTTTTGTTTTCTAATTTTTCTAACGACAAATATAATAAAAATTTTTATATTTTTCATAAGTAAGGAATTTTTTATATTTAATTAACACATAATGTTCTTGCTGATTAGAGCATTTATTTGTTCGGTGTTAGACCTTCAAATTCTCCCTTTGCTCTGCTTTTCTCTTTTTGTGATTATTTACACTCAAACAAATAGCGCTTGAAAGTTTTTCATTTTCTCTGGATTTTTTCTCTGTTTTTTTTTTGCGTTTTCCGCTGCGTGTGTGAGTTTGCATTTCCCGCTTGCATTTTCAGCCTGAGTGCCCCGCGAGTGAAAGCGCGACGCCACCGCCCCTCCGCGCTTTGTTAAACTTAATTTTACGCCTTTTTTACAACTTGCAGGTTTATGTTGTAAAAACACACAAAGCACACTCTTCACTGGCAGACACACACATGCACAAGCTTTCTACATATGTGTACAAACACTCTTACGCGCCCAGGTGAAAAAGGGGTCATGTAAATAGGCCGGCCAGCCAACTGTCCTGTCATCATTCCCCATGGCAGGTGTGCGTTTGGGTCACCATCTCCCATTTCCCATCTCTCGTCTACCAACGTGACTTAGCTATTTCCCCAGTGGATAAAAAGAACCACTCACCTGAAGCTTCGCTCGGATATATCCTGCAGTTCGTTGTCGATTAGCTTCAGTGTCTTGAGACGCAGTCCCTGGAAGGTCTCATCGTCGACACTTTGCAGATGTGTGTTGGACATTTCGATGTAGCGCACACTGCTGTGCATGAACTCTGCGGAGGATCAGGAAATATATAGATGGAAATTATTAGAATTAAAATTTTACACTAGAAATGGTGTGGAAAAATGCCCGAAATTTCGGTCACAAATATCTATTTCAGCAGAAACCATTTTAATTATTAAAAATATATACTTATTAAAATTATAATTAATTGGTTGAATGATTTTGCTGAGGGTAATTATTCAGTCAGAAGTTTGCAACTCAGTCCGTCTGTCCGTCCGTCCATCTGTCCGTCCGTCCATCTGTCCGTCCGTTTGTCCGTTCCTTGGCAGAAAATGTATTCTTTACATAACATAATTTAATAATTAATATTTCCAATTATTATATAACAGAAAAATTCCCTTGTTCTTTACAAAATATTTTTCCGTGTTGGAAATTGCTTTGATATTGGCTGTACTTCGACTACATCCGAGACGCTGCACAAAGTGAGAGACCTCGACGCGCTGGTGGCCATCAGTTCATCATTCAAATTGATTTTAAACGGCATTCGAAGCGTTTACCCTAAACGAGGGAATATGCCCGGGCCGCCATCGTTTCCATCAATTCCCCATGCCGTTCCCAATACATAGATGTCTTTTGCCCGTCTAACGATGATGGCTTTTGTTTTGGCAGTTTTGATCGCCGGCGCGTTAAGGCAAATGGGTCATCAGCGTGCCATCAGACAATGGACCTCCCCGAGTCCAGAGGACCCGGACCCGAGTCCACGGGCCATCCCGAAAACCAGCTCCCCGCAGGCGATGAAGCCACGCTCTCGATTTTTGTGCGCGTTTTCCGGTTGGGCCAGAGGCCCAGGATCCGGGCACAGTGCCTGCAGAAAGGAATCGCCCCAGCCAGCCACCAAAAAAAGGCAACAAATTTCATTTTATGGCTGTGCCAAAGACAGGACAGTGACATCTTGGCCCAAGTACAACAATGAATCGCAACGTACTCGATTTTTATTAAATTTCTATGGTTCAACGGCCAAATCGATTAGGGAGTTAACCAAAATATATTTATGTAGCTTCCCATTCGATTGAAAAATGTGAATTTTTAAGAGCCTTTTTAAATCGGAAAAAAATTAGTTTAATCTAAATGACACTTCAATATGTCAAGGTTGATTTAATTATCTTGAAACACAAACAAAAAACAAGGAATGCATATCGCTTACGCTCATTGGGAAAAAACAGTTGAGCGATTTACAATTTTCAAAAGTTTTTCCCTGAACGATTTCATGCATTTTGCATATTTTTTTGCGAGCTTAATTCCCTGCCAGTCAAACCTCAACAAAGTTTCATCGGGAATCAGTGCGTTTTCACTTATTAAATATTCCATGCGCACAAAAATGCAAGCAAAAAAATAGTCAAACATAGAGCGATTGATTTTTGCACTCTCTGGCGCATTGAATATTTATAAGAAACAATCAATTGTTGGTCAGTTTTTATTTTATGCGGTATTTTTTCTGTTTGTCTAGAACGCTTTGATATTCGCCTGATTTTTTCCCGCCCCGTTTGAACTCATCAAATTGATGTTTAATTATTTCGCTCGGCAGTCAAGTTTCTCGGTTTTTTTTTCTGCGGATTTTCTGCCAAAACGTTGATGGTCGAGTCAATCTCTGACAATCCGGGATTAGTCGCGAATTTCGCTTTGACTTTAATGCAGATGCTCGCAGAGGAAAACTCGTACATGGCCGAAATGCATAGCAAATGCGGTGGAAAAATGGTTGAATAAAAATAGATGCGCCTCCCCCTCTAAAAAAGCCCAAAAATGACAATACACAGGAACACAGAAACGAGCCGAAACGAACCGAAAAGAGGAAGAAATTTTTCAATTAAAAGCGAAAAGTGCATTTTCATGTTGCACGTCAGTTTCGCTGTGAAAATTCTAGGAGCAAGAGAGAGGGAAAGCGGGAAAAAGACACGCCACTCGACCGAAAAATATTTACCATGTTGGCGGACGGGCTGAGGTTGTGGGTGGACTTGGGCTGGCATTTGCAGCCCCGCCCCCGCAGAATGCTTAAGGTAAGGTCAGGCCATAATTTAAGTTGACAAGCATGACATGGAAATTCCCTTTGGTCTAAAGCAGCAGCAGCCGTTACCATAATCAGGCTAAAACACATGGTCACCCCGCACTTTCCCCACTTTCCCAACGAGCATTCGTGTGTTTGTGTGCGTTTGTCAGGAGCTCCAATTCCATGTGAGTATCGCCCGGGTGACCAACTCCTTTGAGAGCAGCCCTCCCTCGCCCCGCGTGCACTCCAAGGACCTTGGTCCTTTCCCCCGGTGCTCCTGTTTAATTAACACATGCTCAACGAATCGTAATTTAATTGCGGCTTTGATGTCTCCCTCGAGCTTGTTCTGAGTCACACAAAAATTGAAGACATTAAAAAGGATCCAGAGCAGGTCGCTTGAAGAAAACAAAATGATCGTTGAAAAATTATGGAAACTCGTTAGAAGGAATGGCTCTTAAATGTTTAATGACTGGGTATTTGATTATAACTTTCGTATGACATTTTAAAATTTTATTTTATTTAAGGCTCGCAGGAAATAATTATTTAAATTTACTAAATCTTTAATTTAATCTTTTTTATTATGCCACAAATTGTTTAATATAATAATTAAATTATTTTTTTCTAAAATATATTAAATTAAAAGCATTACAGCACCAATTAATAATAATGAATTAGAGTAAAGTAAATATTTTTCAAATATAAATTTCAATTAATAATAGATACAATTAATAATGTAATAAATAACAAATAATATTATAATTCTTATAAATATTAAATTAAAAGCATTGGATGCAACAAATAATATTTATATGTTTTGACAAAGAAATAATGTGTAGAATATAAAATTCCATTTAATTGAATTCTCATTCAATTCTAAAGTGAGGAACGAAATAATCTTTTAATTACCAGTATAATTTTCAATAATGACCAATCCAGAGCGAGCATTTCAATATTGTCCAAATTAAATTGTTGGCTTTGGGTGCATAAAGTAAAGCTAACTCTGATCAAGATCGTATCACAGCCACAGCTACGTTTAGATTGTTGTTTATTCCAATGTCAATGCAGGCATGCATATATAGTACACATATAGTACACACATGTGCGTGGTATGACCGCCTACAAACAGTAATATAAGCACAGAGCAGCTTACATCTTAATTACATATCGCATATTAATACAATATTAATCATACGCCCTGTTGACACGCGTGCGCCTCCCTCGACCAAGGCAGCAAACACGTGGGCCAAGTAAAGTCCGGCGCATTTCTCATGCAGGGAGCAGACTATATATCTACCATATATATATGTATATATAAGTACACATGTGTGTTTGTGGGGGGGCGTGTGCATATCTAAGCTATTGCCAGTGTTTTGTTATGAGTGGACAAACCAACACAAGAACGGCAACAACACATATGGCGTTAATAAACTTCTAGCCCCGTGCCTGAGGGTCCAACAACTGAAATGAACTCGGGGAACGAACTTAGGACTGGGGAATGGGAACTTGAGGACTGGGGGATGTGGATACAGGGATCCTGGATGCGGAGGAGGACTCCTACTTCTTCTGGAAGCGTACGTTGTTGGCTTGTGCTTTATGGCCGCAAGTCAATTCTCTGACAAAATGCCAAGCATATTTATTTATTTACTTTTGCTTCCAGGCAGACCAGCGAAGACCGCTCCCATTCCCATTCGCAACTTCCCATCGTCAACCTCATCCTCCCAGCTGTTTGTATTCTCGTCCACGTCCAACGTTCTCGTCTCGTTTTCCGTCACTTGCCAAGTGTTTATTCAACTTGCCCCACTGAGTATATATGAAAAAAAAGAAAAACAAAATAAAATAAAGCACAAATAACAAAGTGTCGGTTTTTGAAGGAAAGCAGCATTGGAAGCAGCAGAGAAGCTCAAAATTAACTCAACCAAAACCACCGAAATTTCTTTGACTTGTTTAAACCTTCAGCAAAAACACCAAATTGCTTTGCCAACGACATTCAAATCATTTTTTACACTCTTTAAATATTTAAAATATGGTTTAGGAAATCCACATTTTATGTTTCTGTTGTCCTCAGATCATGAGTAAAGAGACTTTACACTGTATTTGTATATGTATTTTTTGCTTTCTCCAAGTATTTTGTATATTTTTACAAAAATCATTAATAGAGAGATTTTACAATTAATAATTTTTTGGTTTTATAAAAATGATATTGATCAGAAATAAAAATATTTTTTACTATTGGAAGTATATTGGCTAGTCTGTGAATTTTTCACCCCAGCTAACAAAGTAAAGAAGAAATCCAAACACCATTAAAACAAAGTGCTGAGTATATTGTAATCTTGTATTTGCCTAACCAAAATACAAGATTTCCAAAAAACTACATGCACTTAGCTTTAGTTCTATTGTAAACTAAAAGCTAAAAGCCAAGTCATTTTAAGTGATACGACAAAATCTACGACAAGTATTGTGCTGTATAGACCTAAATTTCAACTCAACCAATGCATTCAGCAATTTGTGTGTGCTCTATAACCCAACTAAAGCTGCCTAAAACTCGGGAACAATCTGCTGCCACCACCGACGAACCGACAATATCCAAAAACCGAGAGGAGAAGATGCCTTAGAGCCTGTGCGTCCGTGTGTTGATGAAGATTACGTCAGCTGAAAAGTTATTGTTTTGCCCCGGCATTCAGGAAGGCAACTAAAGACAGGAAGACCGAGTGGGTGTGATGGGCGGGGCAGCTACCATTTATATCCATATAGTTTGTGTCCTGTACAAAAAAATACTAAAAACGAAAAACAGAAAACAGAAAACGAAACGGGACCAGGAAACGTGCGGCATGTGGGCAAACTGTCGTCTTTCATTTTCGTTTTTCGGTTTTTTGGTTTTTCGGTCGCTCCCCAAATAGTTTCGGCATGAAAATTGCGGCCGAATCGAACCAAGGATGCTGCTATCTGGCCAAAAAATGCCTCTGGCCAAGCGTGAAAGTGACCAGCAGGAGAGAGCCCGAAAATGAAACATTAAAAATAAATCTAAATTGTAGCTCCACAATTTTCTTTTCGCATTTTGAATGTCCCCAATAGACAATAGAAATTCAACATTAAATTACGGACACAAAAGTGCCACTGCTGCATGTTCTCTAGGAATTTTGAAATATTAAATGAATTTTCAACTAGTCCTTGGGTCCCCGGTTACAGTTGTCAAATCCTCTGCTCCCTGCTCCCATCCACTTTTTAAATTTCTGGCTGCATAGTTTGGGTTATTTTTTTTATAGGGGGCTCCTCTCGACCACATGGTGACATGGCCAGCCAGGAAGACGATTCGATGAGGGGCTGTGGGCTGTGGGGGGCGTGGCACGCAATTAGCCAGGCTGTCAACCAAAGTGTTTTCTCTTCCTCTTTTTTCGCATCCCTCGGTCTCTCTCTGTGTGTCCGTTTGCATTAGAATTGCTAATTGCCAAAACTTTTGCAGCTGCAACATTTCTTCTGCTGCTTGAATGCAATCGTTGTCGCTAACATCCCCATCAACGTCATATACATATATAGAATAAAATTCGTATAGATGTAGATACATATTTTTGGAGCAGTCTTTAGAATTGAGACATCTGCTTGGAGTGCAATGTGCTTGAAGCAGTAAAAACACACTTTATTATATCCGTCATTTGTACAGTGAGTGGGTATATTGTATTCGTGAAAAAGTATGTACCACTTAGTCGGTCTAGCCATGTCCGTGTGTCCGTATGAACGCTGGGATCTCGGAAATTAAAAAAGCTAAAAAGTTGGGATTACCCACACATATTCTTGGGCTTCCTACCAGTGCTGCCATCACTTAGCTTGAGAAACAGGACAGATAAACCACAAAAAACAAGGAAAAAAAGGACAAAAAATTTTTAAAAAGGACAAAAAAAAGGACAAAAGTAAATGTTCCTACATTTTTTTGTTTTTACCAATGATTTCTATATTTACTTAATATAAATGGATTTTAAATAAAATTCAATTATGTTATGATCTACTGCGCCCGACTCACAACCATCTTTGTTTGATCATTTTACCATGGTTAATTTTTGTGCGTATACGTAATAATCTAAAATTATTAAAATAACACTAGTTTACAAAATAAAATCGACCTCACCCTAATCGAAGGCAACCTTAATTTTCCGGTAAAGTACATCTTCCTGATTATGGTGTCAAAAAGTTTTGGCATAAATGGCTTTGTTAAAAATACACGCAAAAAAACCGAAATTAGTTTTATAACTTATTCTGGTAGATGGTACTTTGACAAAAAAAACAAGCTAATGATCATTAGAATCCACCAGAAAATGAATTTTATATGAATATTTTAAGTTTGGGACAACCATGATTTTTTGGCCGTTTACAGCTGTTAACTGAGACAACAGGTCTCTGACAGGGCTCTAACAGGGCTGTAATATCCGTTTTGCCCAACTTAAAAAATCGATATAAAATTCATTTTCTGGTGGATTCTAATGATCATTAGCTTGTTTTTTTTTGTCAAAGTACCATCTACCAGAATAAGTTATAAAACTAATTTCGGTTTTTTTGCGTGTATTTTTAACGAAGCCATTTATGCCATTTGAATTTTTTTCAAATTTTTTAACTTTGACGAGGTGTGGCTTCTAAACTAATGACTGAAACTCAATGCTGTGTATGAGAAAATGAGTCATCGATGAGCTCAGTCGGTTTACCAGAACTCGAGATAAAAAATAAAAAAGGGCCAAAAACGTTTTTTACACTTAAAAAAAAATTGACACCATACAAAAAATTATAAGTGCCCATTTCTTAATCAGGGAGATGTACTTTACCGGAAAATTAAGGTTGCCTTCGATTAGGGTGAGGTCGATTTTATTTTGTAAACTAGTGTAATTAATGCATATCAAGTAACTATATTCGTAATACAAAAAAATTAAATATCTGCGTCAAACCCGAAAAAGAGTCGTTCAAATCTGAATTTTTTTCTGACAATAAAAACAGAGAGTAAAAATTAAGAAATTTTAAAAGTGCTTTCCTAATTTTTTTGCTACAGAAAAAATCGTACTATAAAGAAAATCCATCGACTGCTTTACGTCTCTTTGATAATTTGTAAAAAGAATTTTTTTTTAAGTGCTGAACTGAAAAAATGATGGTTAAAAAGGCATTTTAGCATATAAAAACAGGTTTCGACTAGCAAAAATAACACTCAAAACCTTATTTTTGAAAAAAGGACAGATTTCCGGATAGGGGATGTTTGAAATTTTTTCCGGATAAAGCCGTTAAAAAAAGGACAGATCTGTCCGGAAAGAGGACAAAATGGCAGCACTGCTTCCTACGCAGCGCAAGTATGTTTCAGCCGAGCGCCACGCCTCCTCGCCCAGAAACGATTTAAAAATGTATCTAGCGCCCACATTTTTAAAGATTTTGGAAAAATATAAATGCAATTTTATTGTGTTTATCAATACAAATCGAAATGTAGAAGAAATTTTTCAAATCGGACCAATCATTAAAAAGTTATGAGCAAATAATGGAATTCAAGCAGTGTAATCAGTAGTTTTGCTGCATGCATATTTCTATCTCCCTTGCACTTCCTTTCGATGAGTAACGAGTATCTGAGGTACTCGAATAGCTTTTTCTCTTGTTTTCCTTCTGAGACAAGAAGTAAATGAAATACAGCATTCGAGTGTCGGAAAAGCTTGCTCCTCGTGCCATTCGTTTTAATTCGATTAGTCGTAATATTTTAAAGTTTTTCATTAAAGCAAAAGCCAATGCAGATGCAATTGGAAAGTTTTGCATAAGAAACGAAGGATAAATTGCCAATGCGGAGTGGCCATTTCCCCCGGGGGGGAAAACCTCCGAGCAGGAGGGAAAGTTTTCAATAGCATTTCTTATTTCCACTCCTCTCCTGTGTTCTTCTCTCCATGTATTCCCGGTGCTGCCAATGTCTGGCCAATTTTTGTGTGTTTTGCCAGTCAACAACTTTGTTTATTATTTTGTTTCTTTCCCTTTTTTGTTATTGTATTTTTTGTTGTGTTGCAACTTTATGCGGCAACTTTTGGCCAAAAAGGCGACTCTGTGGGCGTGTCACAGTTGTTAACGAAGAAGAAGCAGCAGGAAAAGCGGGGTGTAGAATGGTAATATTTTCAACACAAGTCTCAAAAAACATACACACAAAGGCGGAGGAGAAAAGAAGCCACCGCAATGAGAAACATTTTGCGCTCGCAATGGAAATGGAAAATGACAATGGAGCTATGGAAACTTGCCATTCATTCATTACTTAAAAAGGGAGCAAAAGTCCTGGTTGGATTGGATCTTTCGACTATGGAATACCCAGCTATAAAGTTTTTAATGAAATTTGGAAACGAGCTCGGAACCTTTTGTTGTGAACTGAGAAAGTTTCCTGGAGAAGTATATTAACTACTTCGTAACTAAAAATAGTTTTGCTTATTAACTGAATTTTTAAGAACTCTTCTTAGTTGTATAAAAAAATAACACTTTTTTAATGCCTTTTAAATATAATAATTATTGTTAATGTTACTGTAAAAAAAACCTACATATCACACGCCATAAAACCATCTACCCCGGCACTCAATAAAATGCCAGGTATGAAAACTACCAAAAATTTGCGTGGAATTTGCCACAGCAATCGTTATAAAACTTTGTGCAGAAAGAGGAGGGAAAGGGAAATACAAAGAGGAGAAAACAAAATAAAATAAAAGAGGAAAGGAAACTTTATTTTTACAACTAATTGGCAAACTTAAATGTAAGATTTCATTTTATTTGTGGGCCGCGCGACAAAGCTGTTTGGGGCTTCATTAAAAAATTACATTTTCCGAGCTGCAGGCGACAGGAGCACAAAGCTCCCCAAGGCAGTTGACTGGTCAGGAAAATGGGAAATGGCTGGTGTAATGGGAAAATGGGAAAAGGAAGAGGCAAGAAGGCCAAGGCAATTTATGACCAACTGGCAATGAAAATATTTGCCACATAAATAAAGCGTGACAAGCTGGAAGGACACATTGACAGGCGATACAAGTGGGTGGGGTGGTTATATCCTCCGAATCGGAGGAGCATATAGACGGGGTCACCTACCTGGAAACTTGTACAGGGCCACCTCGTTGCAATTAATCTCAATCAGGGTGCTTGTCTCGTTGGGCAAACCGGCGCACTGGCACATGGAGTTGAGTGGACAGGCGTAGAGGATGTCCTGCTGCTGGGAGCCCAGCAAGGCGGCAGATCCCCTGGCCGACGGTGGAGGATTCCTTCCCGTGTTCCTGGTCCGCCGATGACCACCGCCTCCACCTCCACCTCCGCCGCCGTCGAATTGCCAGCAGTGCGAGGAGCTCACCAGGCACGAGATCAGCACCAGATACAGGTGCATCCTGCAAAGAAAAGGAAAAAAGTCATTCTGTATAGACAGCTGCAGATCCCTAAATACAATCTTATAATCTAGAAGGGGCCCCCTTTTCATTTCAGCACTTCGGCTCACATAAATCCACCGTATAAAGACACCTTGGCCGGGGGCATTTGTTTATTCGCTGCTGCTTTGCATAAATCACACGTTTGGAAAGCGAAAGCAAATGAAATGGCATAAAATTAACGTTAGTCCACACGCGTTGTATTCGCACCGTGTCACAAAAAAAAATGTAGAAGAAAAACAAAAAAAAGTTAATGGTTAAAGCAAAAATTCGAAATTAATTGCTTTAGTTTTGGATATGAAAAAAATAATTCGAATGTTTATATTGGAGGTATAAGAAGTTTAGAATTTATTTATTTTTGTAGGTCAGTTTGTTAGTTTTCTATTACAATAATTAAATATTTAATGCTCCATCCAACTAAATTAATTATTTTAAAGCATAAAATTAAGTTCCAGTCGTTATACTTTAATGGATCAACCAAGTTTTAATTAAGTTTCCGAACAATTTGTACCCCTCACAGCACATTTTCCAGAATCGTGCGAATCCCTAAGATCTCAAAAATCTCGGTTTGCCAGAGCGACGACGGGTAAAAACAATTAACTTGATTTAATTGTTTTCGCAATACTTTTGAACCAATGTTGATATTTTGGCTTAAGCGAACACCCCTCTTCTCCCTTCTCACCCCTCGCATCACAAACGACAACGGAGGAAGTTTTCGACTAAAAGCCTGCGACAACTCATGCAAATGAGCCGCAGTCGTGTGACACAGTCCTCTTTGCCTCTTCTCGCCTAACTCCCATCCATGGCCATGCAATCTTTCATACACATGGAAATGCCTAGCCTTAAAAAGAAAAAGTGCACTGAGGAAAAATATGCCTTTCCAAAAAATATAAAGTAATTAAGACTATAAATGTTATATCTTATATCAAAAATCCTATTTAATATTTTTTTGCATCCCAAATATATTTTAATTGATCTTAGAGCATAATATATTTTTTTCTCTCTGCACAGATGTAAGCTAGAAGAAAGTGCGCAACCACAACACGTAGAGGCCTCAACAGCCGCAGAGAAGTCGCATATAAAACATGTTTCATGTACGCTAGATGTGTGATGTTTATTTGACACGCCAAAGTATATAATAACAAATAAAAACTTTCGGCTCTTTCGGCATGGAACCATGGAATCATGGAACCACGGAACCTTACCATTCCAGACGAAATGAACCTTACGGCGACAAGGACGAGTACGGGCCATTAGCACGATTGTTGAGCTTTAAGACTCCCGACGGTTTACCTTGAGTGTGCCAAGGTGTGTGTGTAAGGGGGGTGGGGGTGGGGTGTACCTACCTGCGCACATTACGACCAGCCATAAAACTAGGAGCCAAAAAAAAAAATAGTAGCTCAGAGAGCCGGCAGACTGGCACTCAATCCCGTTCCCATTCGACTAAGTCTGTAAGTTATTTCCAGTCAGCTCCAAAAGCTTCGGATAAGTCATATATATTTTATACATAATGAAATATGGCCAAAAGCAGGTGATGTGGGTGGTCTGGATAACAGAAATTATACGGCTTAAGTCTGAGATTGACTTGAAACTGTGTGGGTGCCCCTGCATAACTGTGAAACTAATGTCGTTGAATTTGTCTGGCAGAAATAGTTTTATCTACCTATTTTCCTTTGCGAATTGCTGCAAAATTATATTGAATAAATTCTGAAGTAAGTATAATAATTTATTTACTTTCTTTTATTTTTATTGAAATTTTCCCAGCCAAACTTTAGAGTATCCTTTCAAAAAAAAAATACTTTAACAATATGGAAACAATATTGAAATTAATGACATGCAAACTGGGATGAAACAAAATGAAAACCAAATTACAGTATATATTTTGTAGTCCCCAAGAATCGAACTTTCCAATAGGAAAAAAATCAGTATGTAATTTGGTCCAAGTGCCTGCACATCACATCCATCTTCCGTTTCAATTTAATAAATATATTCTAATTTAATAAATCTAATCTTGTCAGGCAAATCGCCAACTGTTTACCTAATCTTCCGACTGTCATTTGCCATATGCACTCAGCATTAAATTCCCCAACATACAGGGAGAGAAAAAGCAATCAGAAAAGCTTCAGTTTGCCGCCCGGCACTTTTGCTGATTGTTTTTCATTACGCTGATGGTGACAAATCGAAGTCTTTTTCCCATCGCCCATTTCGCTTGGACCATGTAAAACAAATGATACATCACACAGTTGAGTGCGTATATATAAGTAGTATCAACCTTTATGCACCTATCCCATACAGACAGATACGAAGAAGTCAGGATGTTGGACGACGGGCGGCAGAATAAAAACGAAAAAGATAAATATGTCGTAAAAGTTTTTTATTTGCGTTTTATTTTTTTTGATACAGAAAATGACTAACTTGTTGGCTGACAGACAAGCAGCAAACAGGCATCGCTTTGGGCCAAGAAGAACAACTGGGGGTCAGAGGTGGAGTGTTGGGCTTGTGGGTTGGTGGGTGGTTGGGCTCTGAGGGCTTGGGGCCTAGAGACAGTCTGTCACGCACACACGCCCCTTTTTTCCGCCCAAGTTGGACTCTGCGGATGCGGGCGTTGCCCCATCTGACCCTCAACCTTGTCGGAAAAACTTTTTAAAAGCAAACCTACAAAATTGTAGGGCAGCAAGTGTAGAAAGCTGAATAACAGATGCTCTTAAAAGTATTTAAAATAATATTTGTAGTTTTAAACAAAGAAAAGCAAGGATATTGTTTACTACAAATTTTACATAATATTATATTTATATATTTACCACTATTTTTCTGCCTCTTTTGTATTACTTATTTATTCAAGACTTTCCGTAGAATATTCCATACCCTTTTCCATCCATTTAAGGAGAGGCCAAAGAGCAAACTATACAATAAAGTGTCAATCCCCCACAAGCACTCCGATGTCGCTGAGAAATCCTTTTGCGGCCATCATCTTCCTTTGAGCAGAAGGACGAATGCCACGAAAAGGTCAACAGAAGGCAGGTTGCCAGGCAGGCAGGCAGACCGCAAGTTTTTATTACGCATATAATGCCAGCGATTTGCAGCAAGGGGATGGAAGGAGCAGGAGGATGAGAGCCAAAGTTAAATGGGTGGATCACAGGGGTCTGCATCATTTTTATACTTTTAATTTTTTATGCCGGTGACACAGTGACATGAAATGTCAACGAGCTGCAAAACAAACAGCGCGAGCAAGAAAGTCCTGGACAAGGACCAGGATAAATATGATGAGCGTCCGCTGGGGATGATGTCCTGCTAGTTGACGCCGACGTCAACTGCGGCTGAGCAGCGCAGCATGAAAAATGCTGAAAAACGTAGCATACATTTGGGAGTCGTTGGCTCGCAGTTTTCCGCTCTTCCCCGCCTGTATCTCCATCTCTGTCGAGAATTTGCGAGTTTGTGCGATAATAACATATGTAAGTTGCCTCCCCGCACACAGAGCATGCATATGTGAGCATGTCGGTTTTAAACTCAGCCCCATAAGCTGCTCCCATTTATGCTTCCAAAGCTTTTCCAACCAAAAAAAAAAAAACACAGAAAAAGAAATACAAAAAAAAACTGATTTTAAAGCCGTCGCTCAGATGGGGATCAGAACTTTAAATGAACTTAACAAACTGTGAGCGTGTATTTAACGCAGCCAAACATGAAAAAGGTTCTTGGGTGCGCGATTACGTGCCTCTGTAGGTGTAGGTGTGCGCCCTTTTAGGTTTATGCTAGTGTGCGCCTTATACATATTATATCCTCGAGATACATTACAGTTAATCGGCGTCAAGTCAATTAAGGATACGGCAAAGTTTGCCCGGGCCCTTTCTGGCTTGAGTCCTTAAAGAAAACGTATGAGTTATAATACGCTAAAAGTGGGTAAAGTGATTTAGATAAAGTTTTTGCCATTCCATTAAGAGGTCCTCATAAAGCAGGGTTGCAAAAACATCAATAGAGTGCATCATCGATAGTTTTGGCTATCGATTATGGTCGATAGTATCGAAAATTACGTATAGTCAGAGAAGAGTTAATGACAAATTATCAGAAGAAAAACATGAAAGAAAAAATGAAAATAAAATTAAAATTAAATTAAAAATTAATAAAAAATTGTTACCCAAATTACAACTTACTTTCCCTTATTTTTTAGTTTTTGAGAAACTATTCAAATTATTTCTGTGCCCTTTATATGATCTCTCTTATCTTTATTTGGACCACCCTAATAACAACTCAATCCTTAATATCTTCTTCCTTTTCATATCTTGCCAAATACTCGTTTTCCACTTTCCCACTTTGTATCCATTCCAGCCATTCAACTAGTTTGGATTCCTTGGCCATATCTCACACCTTGACAGATGCAAAACGATCCATCTTCGGCATTCTCGACCTGCACATATGCAATGGGTCTTATGAAACCATTAGCAGAGCGGCGCAAACTTTAAGATACATTCATCTTGCGAGAGGCATTTTAAAAAGAAACTTAGCACCAGCGATTTTTCTTGGCCCATATAAATCACATACCAGCACAGACACAAACTCGAATCCTCATCCCCATCCCCATACAAACATCCTCAGTTTAGTCAGTTCATTCAAGTGTCGTTTATCGCTTTTGCTATTTTGGCAGCGCCTTCCGTAAAACTGCTTTTGGTCATAAATATGCCAATTTGGCAGAGAGACCCCAGTACTCCCTTCCCTTAACAAGGTGATTTCCCGGTACTCGAGCGATCGCCCCCGCAAAAAGCCAGAGACCATCCAGTCAGTCAGTCAACCTGAGAGTCAGTCAGAACAATAAAAATGAAATTTATTACTCAAAGTTTATGGCATAGCAATAAATGTATCTTTTCTGCTGAGTATCCCAGTATCTGTATCCATAAATATGCACCCATTCGCACCTAAGAGCGGCATGCAAGGGGTGCCACATGTGGCGCAAGCCACCCACGTTGAAATTA